TCAAGAAATTTTCTCTAACTGGACCTCTTTAAATTTTACTTGAATACCCCTGCAATAGAGCATCTTTGGGATGTGGTGGAACAGGAGCTTTGTGCCCTAGATGTGCATCCCACAAATCTCCATCAACTGCAAGATGCTATCCTATCAATATGGACCAACATTTCTAAAGAATGCTTTCAGCACCTTGTTGAATCAATGCCACATAGAATTAAGGCAGTTCTGAAGGCGAAAGGGGGTCAAACACCGTATTAGTATGGTGTTCCTAATAATCCTTTAGGTAAGTGTATGTTTTCTCAGCATTTACTGATAAAAAGTTTTCATACAAGCATGCAACGTGGGTTTGTTTTGTGTCAGTAAAAATATGGCGCAAGGCAGTTACAGTGCTCTGTAGTTTTTTCAGCCTTTTAAGAGGACTAAGTCTGGTGTGGTTGTACAGTATTTTGGTTTTTAGTCTTCATGACCATCACCCACTATTTCATAGTGAATGCCAGGTAAGTTAACTTTTAGCTCAATGCATGATGTTGGAACTTTAGAATGGGGGAAATGCCTGAGATAAATTTAGCTGAATTAATATATCACAGTATATGCCACTTGTAATTGAAAGATTGCTGGGTCAAAATCCCCGAACAGCAAAGTACCATTGAGTAGTACTCTGAGTAAGGTATTGCTCCCTGGGTGCTGAATTAACTTCCCCCTGCTAGTAACAGTCTCCCAGATGAAAGCATGCAAGCATGTAATGTGGGTTTGTTTTGTGTCAGTAAAAACATGGCACAAGGCTGTAACAGTTCTTGGAATGGGAGAAATGTCATGGTTTGTCTCTCTAACTTGCTAATAGCTTTTAATAATGTAAACTGAAGCTTTCATTGTTACCTACTCTTTTAAAAACGCTACACATTGTCAGTGGTGTAACGGAGCTAGCACTTTTTTTGCTAGTTGAATGCCCGTTTGCCAAGAATGAATTCCATGCAAGTTAGACCAGTTTCTTTCCTCCTTCTGTATGAGTTTTCTAGCGTAACGATGGTGTAACCGCATTATTTCTATTTGTCTGAAATTCAGTAAATAGTTGAACTCTTAGGAGATTATTTGGTTTTCATATGTTTACATAGGTATTGGCTATGCTATTATTTTAATATTTATGCAGACAAAAAATACATAGTGCTGCTAATTGTATTTGTGGTTTTCAATACAGAACTTGGTGAAATGATTGAAGTTAGTGTATCCATACTTTTGAAAATTTTTCACATTTCACATTTTAATAATACTGTGATAATACTGATAACGATGATATTTTTTCTGATATTAAAGTTTCATACCGTTTCATCTCTAAATTGTACTTTTGCATTCTTCCTTTAATTGATCAGAGGCCAATTTTTGAATAGGCGAGTTATAAATTTCAAGTTGAAAAAGATGGGATACTTTGATTGTTAAGCGATTTCTCAAGCGGTCATGTTGGGGGAACATCACATAGTCAGTGGCCCCCAGGTAATTTGAGTTTTTGCCTAGTTACCCATTTTTCCGACTGGCTACCCAGTCACGTTTGAGAACCACTGAGCTACAGAATGTTCCCGGGAAGTTTGCAAAAAAGATCCACAAAATACGTTTAGCAGCAGATGCCTGTTGTAAAGATGGCTGCTGTAGCCTCCTTTTCCACCGTCTGCTGCCACCTATAGTACTGCTGCTTCAATTTTAGGGTGATTTGTGTATTAGGTGTAGATTTTCATCCATATAATGTTTTTGTGAAGTGGTATTAAGATCTATCAAAGATCAAATACAATACACAGAGTAACAGGCACTTGTAGGGGGTAGCGGGGCGCAGGTACCTGAGCACCTAGTACTTTGTAGAGTAATCAAATGAAAGAGAGTTCTCTTATTAACAAGATCAAGCTTCTTCTGCAGTCAACCTTCACTTTGCTGCCACTAATTGGTGAGGCTTCAGTTTTGGTGCAATTTCTCTTAAAATCTGAACAGGTCCAGATCTTCCCCCAAACACTGTGCCTTCAAAGGTTTAAAAATCTGTTGAATTTTGTATTTAGCTATCACAGTAACAGGATCAAGTGTCTGAAGCTGCCAGTTTCTTTGCTATCACTGTATGGTGCTGCACTAACTTTGGTACAATTTTGGTCACTTCCAGATCTTCACCCAAACAATGTATTTGCAAAGTTCAAAAAAAGATTTGTTAAACAGTTTTTGAGTTCTCGTGTTAACAGGAATGTATCTGTGGTGGTGAACCAGTTCCAAAACCATATGTATTACCTGTCCAAGGAATACAATGATGAGTGACATAATGATAATAAAATATTATTATAATAATATTTATTTTTATATTTTTAGCTACAACAACAAAACAGCCCTCATTCAATAGCTGTTCGTTACCATTAGTGGTCGTCAGCATGGAAATCAGTAATCTTGTCAATTGAGCCCAGCATCTGTGAGACCAAATAAAGAGTATCGGCTCCATTCAGCAACTGCCTGAGGAAGAATACCAAACACAATAGCTGATGTAAGGAGCTTGAACTTACTGATATTTTCACATTTAGAGAAGATATAAACTGACAGGTTTAGGATCAGATAAAGAAATTTAAATAATAACAGAATCAGCAGAAAAAACATAATTGGAAAAAACAAGGTACTCATGGACCAACTGGTACTCACTTGATGGAATTTTCTGCATTGCTGGCAGCTTTGTTGAGATACTCTGATGCTAACATGGATTTTTGCTTTATAGTTTTCAAGGCAACAGTCTCTTTGGCTTGAAGCCTCTCATTTTCACATCGGAATCCTTCTAGTTGACCCTGCAAAATGAAACTATTTTGACTTTAACACTTATAGAGCTTTATGGTCTTAAAACAGCATAACAAGTATTAAAATCTGTAATTTAGAACACATTTACCCTATTTTCACACAACTTTATAATTATCTCTGTCTTGCCATTTTCCCCCATTGTCATGGCAAGCAAAAACAAGGCAGATCCTGGCCAAAAAGGGACAAGGCAAGCTGGGTTTTCCCCCCCATAACAATAAAACTAGTTTTTTCATTATAAGGTAGTAACAATGTTTTAAAAAAACAACAAACAACAACCATAGGGCTAGCCTAGCTTAAACAAATTGCTGCTGCTATAACTAGTCTTATAGAATATTATGAAAACACAGTTAGATAAATGATAAACTGACATAGCTGTAAAGTTCTGGAATGTCAGACTACCAGTTCTCTGCCAAATAAAGTGCCTGAACTTATTTTATTTTACAACATTTACTGCAACTCCATTTGATGCATTTTCCTCCGATTATAATTTTGATATGAAATGAAGCAGGTGCAAAAAACATGTTGAAAGTCAGTGGATGACATCCCGAGGGAAAACAAGACACCAAGAGGTCTATTCTCCAGTGCAAACAAGTCAATGTTTGTAGCTGTGTGTTTTGTTTTACTTAGCATATTCTACCATTGACTTAAGTCTGGGTTTTGTACATGTTTAAGCAAGATACACCCTTTGGATGGAGAAATACCAAAGTATGGGCATTTTGCATATAAATGATCCTTACATGCATTCTGCCACTAACAAACATGCTTTCAATTGCATTTTTTTCTACACGCTCTGCAGGGCTGTATTACATCAAGCAGCTGTACATGGCCAAATACAACACTGCATTGTAGAAAGTATATAACAAAACTAAGCATTTCACATTTATTGTACATATAGAAATACATGTTATACTCAATCATATAATTATATAATACAGTGGAATCCTGCAGATTACCATTTAAACTCTCATGAGTTTAATGATTATTTTACATGGGTGTTCACAGTAGAGGACATGAGTAACTTACCACCTTTTATTACAAATACAGCGTTGTCTATGCCCAATATATGTATAACTGAGGCTGATGTGGTACAAAGTCTAGCAAAGCTCAAAATAAATAAATCACAGGGCCTTGATTAAATCTTACCTATAGTTTTAAAAGAGATGAGGGATATTATTAGCCAATCCTTATCTGCTGGTGTGGTACCTTCTCATTGGAAGCATGCTAATATAATGCCTAAATTCAAAAAAGGAGATAGAAGTAATCCAGCAAACTATAGGCCAATCAGTTTAACTTGTATAACAGGAAAAGTAATAGAAGCTATAATCCAAGTGGAAATGGTAGATTGCCTGGATTCAAATAACATTCTGAGGGATAGCCAACATGCATTTAGGAGAGGTAGATCCTGTTTAATTAATCTACTTGAGTCCTTTGAAGAAGTGCAAGACAAATTGATCACAAAAAAGCCTACAATGTGATCTACTTTCCAGAAGGCCTTTGATGCTGTCCCCCACAAATGGCTCCTGCTTAAGCTCAAAGCTTCAGGGATTCTAGGAACTGTAGCAGCTTGGATCGAAAAACTGGTTAACATACATGGCAGCGTGTAGTTCTTAGAAGCACAATGTCACAGTGGGCCTGCATTCATAGTGGGGTACCGTAGGGTTAAATTTTAGGACCACTATTGTTCCTAATTTACATTAATGATATGGACACCAATACATACAGTAAACTGGTTAAATTTGCAGACGACACCAAGGTGGTGGGTGGTGTAGCAGATACTGAACTAGCGGCTCAGCAGCTACAGCGGGATCTTAATTTAATTAGTGACTGGGCTGGCATTATGCAGATGAAATTTAACATAGACAAATGTAAGGTACTCCATGTAGGGAGCAGAAATATAAAGTACAGGTATTTTATGGGACCTACTGAAATAAAGGTAGCTGATTATGAGAAAGACCTTGGTGTGTATGTAGATGCTTCCATGTCTCATTCTCGCCAGTGCGGGGAAGCAAAAAAAAAGGCCAATAGGATGTTACATCTCTAGGTGTGTGGAGTTTAAGTCAAGGGAGGTAATGCTAAGATTATACAATTCCTTGGTAAGACCCAACCTTGAATGTTGTGTGGAGGTTTGGTCACCATACCTTAAAAAGGACATTGCTGCCTTGTGATTTTTAGTTACTTTTTTAGAGAAAATTGTTTAAAATCATTAAATCAGGACAATTTTATATACCTAAAAAGTTAGGGTGATGTCAACTGACCAACACAAAAACCAAATACTGTATTTTTTTTCCTCTAAAAATTCTCATGCTCACAAGAATGAACTTTTTCAACATAAAATGGTTTCTGTGGATTTTAGTTAGGTTCACAATGTTGTATGTGTATATGTGTAGTATGTGTAACTCAACTTTTTAAACAGTTTTTTGACTTGTACACCTGATGTGAAAATAGACCCCTGAGTGCATAGACAGTTTAGCATGTAAGTAGGTGGAATTTTAAAACACAGACTGTTTTAATGCTTGTCAAACATTGTTGTGAAAGAGTTTCCTATGTTATTATGAAAGAGTTCCCTATGTTGTTATTATTGTGTGTATTTTTCTTGCTATTTTCCTCCCTTCAAACACTCACTCACAAAGCAGAACCAGTATTTACATTCAACATTCAAGAACTTCCTAAGTCATGTAGTTGAAAAAATATTTAACCCTACCTGTAACTGGAGGAGCTCCTGTGTAAGCTTTGAAACATTATTTTCAGCCTTTATTGCTCGTTTCTGGGAGAAAAGAATTAAGATCAAAACACAAAAAAAAAATTAAAAAGATATTTTCATTCTTACATACACATTTCTACAAATTTAAAAAGTTCAATTTGAGGAAACCTGCATGAAAAAAACAATGTCTGTATTTTTATATGACTTATAATGCAATTCATTGACTCATTCAGATTTGTTTTGTAGCAGTGGACAATGCTTTTGACACATCTAAAAAATTTCCCTGAGTTTCATCAAAACTAGAAAACATAAAGATACAATATAATTAAAAACACTACAGCAAAATGTTACATACAAACCTTTTTCAAGGATTCAACGGGATTCAAAATGTTTGTCATTTGTAATAGTACTTTGTACTATTGTACTTTTTTCCCGCTGCTTCCAGCATCAATAAGACGGCAGTTGGGGTACTTGGATGTGTCCCGATTTGTCGGTTTTATTTTATACATAGTGTCTTTTTCTGTTTACTTGCATATTATGACAAGGATGCTCTTCTAAAGATTAAACACAAGCTACAACATAGTCAGTGGGCAAAAATAGAATCATCTTCTGGTAGTATATTGACTTTACTGTCATCAGCAGTCTTCATAGCCAAAGAAAGAGGTGAGATGGAACAGGAGGTCTTGACTGCTTCAGGAAACAAGGGTTATAATCTCTGCTACATAGATCATTCCTCTCCAATGTTTATTCCCTCACAAGTAAAATCAAACAGTTGCAGTTCTTAATACAGAAGAATATGGACTTTTCCCTTTCTTCTGCTTCAGAGAAACTTTGCTCAGCAACTCAATTCTAGATGCAACAGTGGATCTTCCTGGCTTTTCTTTCTATCATACTGACTGCACTGCAGATCTTTGCAACAAATCTAAACGTGGCAGTGTGCAGAAATACCAGTCAAGGTTGATGCAAAAACGTGGCCATTCTCAATAAATCCTGCCCTACAGATCTAAAACTAATAATTCTAAATGGTAGACTGTTTTATCTACCATGCGAGTTTGCCTCCATAATCCTTTTTGGTGTTCACATTCCATCACAAGCACAGTGTTGCAACTACTGGCCAATTGCATCGCAGAGATAAGAGAAAAGCAGACTCGTAAACAATTTACCTCAGTGACTTTATGCAGATTTGAGCATAGACCTGCTAGAATATCACCAACGCATAAAATAATCCTTTAGGTGAGTGTGTGTGTGTGTATATATATATATATATATATATCCATCCATCCATCCATCCATCCATCATCTGCCGCTTGTCCGGGGTTCGGGTCGCGGGGGTAGCAGCTTCAGTAGAGGCACCCAGACCTCCCTCTCCCCAGCTAACCCCACCAGCTCCTCGGGGGGGACAGCCGAGAGATATAATCCCTCCAGCGAGTCCTGGGCCTGCCCTTCCTAATTTACATAAATGATATAGACACCAATAT